ACTAAAATGTATTAGTAAACAAAACAAAAAAAAAAAAAAAGAGAAAGGAAAAAAAAAAAAAAAAAAAAAAAAAAAAAAAAAAAAAAAAAAAAAAAAAACTAATTATATTAGAAATATATATAGAAAAGATAAAACAAATAACAGAAGTAGTAGATATACTAATAAAAGAAAAAAAAAATTGACAAAATAAAAGTAAAGAAAAAAAGAATAATAAAAAAAAAGAAAGAATAAAGAAGATACAAAAGACACAATTGTAGTAATAAAAATAGTAACAATAGACAAATATGTAGAAGAAAAAATTAATATATTAAAGACAAATATAATACAATGAGATTATCAAAACATAATAGTAGCAGTTAGAAATCAAGAAAAAGAAGAAAAAAAGAGAATGAAATAAAACTACAAAATAGAAAGAAGTAATTTTATAAAGATATTATTAGAACAAAGTATATGATCACTCTTAAACAAAGATTGTGACAAAAAAACAATATATACAATAATATCTAACAAACATGTTTTAAAAATTAAAAAAATATTCAAAAAAGATAATGCTTGGATCATAATTATTTTTAATTATAAACATAACAGAAAAGAAGTGATTAGCAAGATCCAAAGAAACATAATAACTGGTTTAGAATAATTTCTGATATAGAAAAATATAAAAATAAAAATAAAAATAAAGAAAAAAGAAAATAAAAAAGAAAGAAAGAATAATGAAAAAAAGAAAGATATAGAAAAAAATAAAAATAAAAAACAAAATAAAAAGTCAAAGACCAAAAAACACAGATACAGAAGATAAAAAAAACTTAGTAATACTTACTATATGAGACCTATTAAAAGAAATCTCAGAATAAGAGATCAAGTATCTGATGAGAAAAGTAAGAAATATAACTTTATATAAAATAAGAAGAAGTACATATAAGATGACAGCAGTAATTAAAGGTAGAGTACAACATTAATCATTTCTATATATAATTAGTTACAAATTTTTATCAGTTTTTTTATATTGATTTTTTTAAAAAAATATATTAAGTAAATAAATTTTAATCCTTATATAAAAATTGTAGAGTAGGTCTTTATGATTTTAATAATAATAAAATTATTAAAATTAGATAAAAACTCATTAAGATATGAGTTTTTAAACATTAGTTTATAAAAGTATATAATAAAATTAGCTTATAGATTTATATAAATTAATTAATCAAATATATAAGGATCAACTCTCTCTAATGATCACTTATACCGAATTTTACACCAACAAAAACAGAAAACTTATTGAAGAAAGTAAAAGAGGCTACTATATAAATAACAGTTTTTATAAAGGTCAAAGTGGTTCTACTATACTGGACTCTTTTATATATTTAGCAAGTAAACTAAAAGCATGCATATATAAGATAACTGGCAGAAGGTGCCCTTGTATAACAAATTTTAGTAGAAGTTTCGGCTTTTGTTAATGAAGTTAAAATAGTAGGCCTTATAGGAGAACAACAAGCAAGTTTTCAATATATTCACTAGAAATTCAAGGATATCTGCTAACCAAACACCACTACCATATTCTTTGCTTAGTTTTTGACAGAAGTTTTTATAAAAAGTAGAAATTTAGCATATCTCTATGAAAGATCTACAGAAATCATCTATCTTGGAAATAGGAGAATTATCTCTTTTCTGAAATTAGAAGTAGCTCTAATCAGAGTAAAAGGGTTAGCTATAAAACTGGTAAGGAAGAAATTAAACACTGACATCTCTATCATCAAATGACATTTATATATAGTATAGACCTATTTTTAGAATAGAGACTAAAAGTAGTAGTACTATATAATTTTTATAATTTGCTCTGGCTAAGGCTTCAGTCCTTTTTTTGGTTTTTCTTTTTCTTACTATTACATGTTTGTTTTGCTGTTTTGTTTTAATTTAGGTTTTGTTTGTTTACTTTTGGTTTTTTTAGTCATGTTCTTATTTGTATTTAATTTTATAATACTTCTCTTTTTTTGATCCTTTGAGAAGAAGAAAAAATTTAAAGAAAGGATTGAAGACAATTAATACTTGTCTTAGAAGAGAGAAATCCTTTCTGGTATGACCTTAAGTAGCCAGATAAATAGTCTACCTCTAATTGAGTTAGTGCAGCAGGTCACACTTAGATACCAATAAGGTAACTAGATGATACTAGACTTAGTTATTGGGAAAATTCTATATAGTTATTGTATATAGTTGCAAAAATCTTAATAAAATACTAGTGTGACTGCTTAAGAGTAAAAAAAAAATAAATAATAAATTTAACTAATCAAATTATCTAATTTTGTATTACCTAGGCAAATTTTAATTGATCTAGACAAACTTTATCATATATACAAATATATTTTTTTAAAATAATATAATAGTTTAAAATTTTATTATAATAAATAAATAATTTTATTTATAATATTATAAAATTTTTTTATTAATTAATTAAAAAATAAAAAAGTTTTATTTATTTTTATTTTTTTTTGGTATTAAGATAACCTCTTTGGTCTTTTAACTTTTATTAATCACTTATTAGTATTGTGGTTTAATGAACTATTACAGAAGAGAGTACAATTGACTACATATATAACTTTTCTATATTATCTATTTAAGAAGTCTGTCTGAAGATTTCTTACCAATTACTGTACCTAACATCTCTGCTTGGGTGTTCCACTTTAAACCTTCTGAATCTATAACCTGTATTAACTTATTAGATTATACTCAGATGTCCAGATCATCATTTCAATCTTAGAACTAATTTATCATCAAGGTAAACTCCCTAGAGTCTTTTATATCCATTTTTATAACTGATTTAGGTATCACTATGGCAGAACCAATACTTGTTATCAGAGCTAACCATTAAACTACTATGCTGTTATAGAGTTCACTTAGACCTCAATATCTATTTCATAGCATAATCCCAGTACTTTAGTATAACACTGCCTTTTCATTTGCCTTTTTACCAAATTACTAATCCAAATAGTCTGTATAAGACTACAACTAGTCTATCGATATATCGAATCAGCCCAATATTCTTTTTCTCCATTTTGTTCTAATAATCTAGTTAGTAATATCTCTGAGATTCTTAATCTGGAGGTTCTTGTCTGTCTGACTACTATAACCAGATACTATGACCTTGGTATCTGTTTCTTCAAGCTAGCCTTTACAGTAGGATCATTGAAGATCCAACTACTTCTCTACTCAGATTTTCCTAAATGGACTTCTTGTTACCTAATTTCAACAAATTTATATAACCACAAGGACTTATCTAGTGTTTACACTGCCTGATTTGTCAGTTTGTATTCCTTTGTATAATGTCATATTTACACAAATATCCTATAACCTGTCAGTTATGCTGATGTGACTGCCATTACAGGTATCCTAACCCAATTGTTAGTAACAATTGCCATAATATGAATATTACATAGGTAATTATTCAAATTTTTATTATCGATGAGATTTGAACACCCAACCTATCACTTAGAGGGTTGACAACCTGATCACTTCACTAGATCATCACACCTATAAAAAAGTTTTATTAGTAATATATTTTACAATTACTATATAAATTTTTTTTTTGCAACTAATTATATATAGAAATGATCTATGTTGTACTCTACCCTTAAAGTAAAGAAAGATGTAGAACAGATGTTTTCATAAGTAATCACATTGAGAAATAGAAAATTAGCAAAAATGACAATAAGTGAAGAAAAAGAAGAAAGAAAAGAAAAAAGAAATTGCTTTACAGCAAGGCTAAAAGGAATATCAAATGAATATCTGAACTAATTCTTTTAAAAGACTGATATCATATAAGTGACGAAAAGTAAAAACCTGTAAATCATTTCACATAATAAGTGAAATGATTTACAGGTTTTCCTTTTTCGTCACTCATATAACATCTATACGTAACTTGGATCCGGATCAGACCAGATTGAGATCCCCAATTTTTATAATTTTATATCGATATGTTTAACGTTAGTTAGAAGTGAGAAAATTCAACCATTGTCGTTACGGGATGATTTTAATCCTGAAATCTTTATTAAATGTCTTCGAATTTTGTCCGAATTATCCGAGTTACAAACGCAGTCCTTATCTATTGTACTTTCATATTAATAGTCAATATTGTCAATATTTCATCTTTCCTTCGAGAGTAAGTGCAAAACTAGTCGAGAGCTTTTATCCATTTCTAAATTTACAATAAAATTTAAAATATTGAAAATTTCTATGGCCAGAATTCTGAGTCAAACACTGACGTTACAGACGTTTCAACCTTAAAAATTATCAATATAACGAAGAAATTCAAAGAATTAAAGTATTGCATAATGATCATTTTTCTGCAAGGGCCATTCTTTGGTACATCGTGACACAATGCTACCTAATTTCGGCTAAGCCAATGATAATTTGACTAGCTATAATCGTAAATGCTATTTATAAAGCTGGATACTTGTGCAAATTAAATTGCTTCGTTGATTTCTGCGAATCTGAAGAGTTGCCGTAAAAGATGGCTAGTAGTTCGAAAGTTGAGACAAACAATGGCGAATCTGGAGCAATCGACGAAGGCGTTTTTGAAGAGATGAAGTCTTTGCTTCACGAATTTGAGCAGGCAGAAACAGAGCTTGGTGAGTAGCTTTATAGATTTTAGAGGTTTGAGTTCGACCAAATAAAGTCACCAGCCTAAACTAGCTAGAGATGATTTAATTTTATCCTATTTTCATTTACAATCATAATATAGCACGACAGCAAGTGAAACTTTTGGCTCCAATTTACGAAAAACGACGGAAAATCTTTGAAAAAATTTCAAGGTTTTGGACAACAGCCGTATGAATTATCATCTTAGCTTCCTTTAATTAAATTAACGTGTTTATTTTGAAAAATTTACCTTTGCTCATAACTTTTATCAACAGTTCATGAACCACCCACATGTCGGTAAGTTATTATTTTTAAGCTTTAATAGTTAAATTTCATTTCCCAAATAGGTAAATCCTTTTACACCTTTTACACTCACTTTCATTTCCTTCTGATACACGATAGCCCAGTTTTTAGATCATGATGATTTTGAGGTACTGTTTAAATTATATTTATTATTGATTATCACAAACCAGAAGGAAATATTCAAATTTAATCATTTTTAAACAGGTTGTTCAATGCCTTAATGAACTAATTATTGAAAGAGATGAAATAAATTTGGAGAATTATAAGATCAAATTGACATTTACTGAAAATCCCTATTTCAAGAACACTGAAATTGTAAAGGTTTGCATATCAATCAATTCATTCATTATGCCAAGCCACTTTTTTATTAGTCTGGTATATATATTTATTTCATTCCAACACTTTAATTAGGAATTCTCAGTAGATGCGGAGGGGCGACGTCATATAAAAACCACTGAAATTGCATGGAACGAAGGCAAGGTAGAAAGATAGGACTTTTAAATTTGGTTATGATTTCATTAATTAACTAGCATATAAAAATAATTGAAGATTAACTAGCATATAAAATTAATTGAAAATTTTGGGGTTCTATTTCAATATAGGATTTCACAAAAAAGCGTAGGGGCGACGAAGAAGATCAAAGTCTTATTCGGTGGTTTACTGAACATAATACAGACGATTTGTCTTGGGAGTTGGGAAGATCAATCAGAGATGATCTATATCCTCAGGCTTGGATGTAATTAATAAGATTTATATCGCTCATCATTTTAATTTCCACAAAACAGTATTTGATGGTTTTATCGTCATGTTCAATTTAATTAGTTATTTTACTTTCGAGGATGAAGAGGACGACGAAGGTGAATTTGACGTAGAAGATTTTCAAGAAGATTCTGATGAAGGTTGGATATCTATTCATATTACCATAATATTCCTTTTGACAAATTTTAATATCTAAAATGCATTCTGTTTTTTTTAGAGGACGATTCAGCGCCACCATCAAAAAAGCGCGTTAAAGTTGGAAAATAAGTTGAAAATGGTTTGTTACTTGTAGTTCATGTATTTTTATTCAATTATAAGTATTTTGTTATTTGTTTATATTTTTAATCTACTGTCTCCGAGTTATATATATACGCATTTTATGGGAAATTTGCTCGGAACAGTATAGTAACTTTTAATATCTATATCAAAGAATTGGGGGTTTTTTTTATAATTAAAGAATTCAACAGCAAATACAATATTTAAGACAGTATTTGTTATCTATTCTTGTTAACCAACTTTTTCATTACTGACGAAAATGCTGAAGATATCATGTCTTATTCGTAAATTCATAATCCCAATTAACATATATATAAAAGTATTATAAATAATTATATTTTTGTTTAATATTACTCGTTATTGCATGAAAGAATTTATGAAAGTAATTGGATTAATTGATATTTCTACATATAAATCAAGCATTTTACTGTTTATAAATTACATAAAATTTCATGCCGATCGGTTATCCGAAACTTTCTAAACCATCTCACCCCACATACATACATACTTAACGTTAAGGTTATCTTAAAATGCAATAGAATATTTTCCGAACGAACGAAATTAAAAATAGCATGAATGAGTCAAGCGGACATCTAATTGTAGCATGTTACATACTTATTTGTAACAACTTAGTATAGCCAATAAACATACATGTAAACCCTAATCTAAATACAGAAATATAATTGGCTAAGTGCAGTTGTTACACACAACAGTTATGATGTCGGTTCTAAAATTAAATTTTTATATATTAACGTTAAGTTAAAAAATGGTGCCGAAACACCGAACATGACGCACTAGATCATGATAACCAATGCAACTTACCGATATGATTGATATGATTGATACGATTAAAGAATCATTATTCTCATTTCCAATTGATATAGCCATCTTTTGATTACATAGTCAATCACAATTGTGTATAGAGTAACATACTTTTTAAATATATTTCACAAATAATAAAATCACGTCCATCTCTATCTTCAAAGAACCATTGACAATTACTATGCAAAAAGAATCTTTAATCTTGAAGTGAAATTTCTAACATACACATATGTTAAACTATATGTCAATATTTTTTTATATATGTACAGTATATTACGTAGACTCCGAAACGGTCGGAACAAATTTTTTCATAAATTCTGGAGATCTATCAAAAAATTGACCGACCGAATATTCGCCAATTCAATAACCACTGCCAAATCAAAACTTATCGAATCGGCAAGTATTCGGTCGGTCAATGTTTTGCCAGATATCTTAGAATTTATATAAACTCGAGCTTACAGCTATTATCATAATTCTTGAGACACCTGTGAAAATTTGCCGATCCAACATTATTAAATTTTTCGATCGAATGCTTGTCCAACATTTTTGGTGTGTCTAGTTTGCAGGAAATCTTAACTCATCAATATAATAGATTCCTTTTTTAAAAAAAATCAACTGGTAATTTTGTTTTTTAAGACAAGTTTTACACAAAATTACAAGTCAGATTTTAATATAATCTCTATAAGAAGTTAATAGTTTTTAAAGTTAGGCTGACGGTATACATGTGGTCGAAATGTTTCGACCATTTCGGCCACTTGGCAAATGTTCAAAGTAAAGTTATCAATAATTTGTAAATATGATAGAAATTAAGCTTCATATATGTTAAGCTAGATCCGCAAAACCTTATGCAAGCCCTTTTTGTATTTCGGCAAGACTTTTTGGTATTTCGGCAGACTCTGGAAGTTTCGGCTGTATATTAAGTACGGATTTTCGAAAATTCCAAAGTCTGCCGAAATACCAAAAGGTCTTGCCGAAATACGAAAAGGGCTTGCATAAGGTTCTGCGGATTTAATTTCTATCATATTTACAAATTATTGATAACTTTGCTTTGAACATTTGCCAAGTGGCCGAAATGATCGAAACATTTCGGCCACATGTATAGCTGACGGCCCTGTGTAATTTGTACATAAAATTGGTGATATATGTAAGTGACCCGATTGGATAATCACTTATGGAGGTCATGTAAATTTAATATAAAAGTCACGTGCTGTATAAGTTACATTTTTGATATCTATGTAGGCAAATTACCAAAATTGCATCAAAAAAGTAACTCTGACTGCACATGGCTTTAAACGTTCATCACTTATGTATTATAAAATATTACACGATTATTTATGCCTGTCACAATATGTGACTAGTCAATAAAAACCAGAAAACAGGCTCTGTTAGGAGACTGAAGTATAAGAAAGTTTATAAAAAAAATAGTTTGTAACATAGTTTAATATAAAAATTCAAAAAAACATACTACAAAGCATTTTTTAAATATCTCATAACCTAGTAAGCAAAATTTAATGATTTTGATACTTTATATATGCTAGTTCAATTTTTAAGAACTGTGTTTTGATTATCAAAGTCACTAATTTTGATATAATATAAACAAAACAGTATTCCAAAATTCAGGACAAACCAAACTGATGCATATTATTTTAATATAGTTACTTATATTTAACTGAATGTTTATAGAAGTTAACTGATCATTCAAACTATAAATATATTCTATAGTTACTAATTGTTATTAAATCAAGTTTTTTAAAACTCTTTAATATATAAAATTTATATTTTTAATTTTTAAAAGTTTAAAATATTTATTATAAATAATTTAACTTAAATTTGTTATATACTTTGCAAAAATAAGAGAACATTTACAGTAAATCAAAAGTTAGATTACAACAACATAAAAATTTAAAACATAATGACTATAAAGAAATTTTTAATCATATTTTGTTAGTTTTTTAATATGAATTATTTTATGTTAAAAATGTTATAATGAAGAAATTACAAAAATGATTAAAAAATCATTATTCAAATAAAGAAAAACAAGTTTTTTTAATTTATTACAGTAAAAATTGTTTCTTTTTTTTTTTTTTTTTTAAGAGAGGTCTTTCTTCTAGTCCTTTATTTCAGTAATATATAATTAAGTACAACTAGTA